CAACGGGATCGCAAGCCTCGGCGTTGCTCCCGTGCCTCGCTCAGCCAGTGAGCGGGAACCGATCCGTACATGGGATCCGAACCCTCGGACGGGAGCGCTGCTGCGCTTCCCGCTTCCCAAGCGGCGCACTATCCAGTGCGCCACCGGGCCGGCCCAAATAATAATCTTTTTTAAAAACAAGTTTTTGTTTAAGTATAGCTAGAAGACACTCACAATATTAAGTAAACTTAACCAACAGCAGCCATGCTTCTCAACCAATACGTGCTATAAAACCGCTTCAGTTCATTTCAAAATAAAAGGATTCAAAATACTTCCAATTCCCCCATAAGAGGAAGTAAGGCTATTTCTAAAACCAACCTTAAAAAATTAGCCATTGAGGGGAAAAAAAAAAAGTATTTTTTTTTCGTTTACAAGTTCACCACTATTTCTGAAAGTCCAAACTTTAAAATTGCCAAATACTGTCTGGCTGGTTAGCTCAGTTGGTTAGAGCACAGCGTTATAAAACCAAGGTCAAGGGTTCAGATCCCTGAACAGGCCAGCCCCCCCCGCCCCCCACCCCCAAAACCTGCCAACTCGAAAACTCTTACGAAATGTTACTAAAATTAACAGATAAAACAAGAAAACTAATTAGTTAGGAGTTCGAAATTACTTTAAGATTATAGATATAAACTGGAGAACCAAGTCAGGGATGTGGTCAATCCTCTTCAGAACCTTGAGCACAGCAAGGATGGAGAGAGAAAACCACAACTAGAGCAGCGACATGGGTGGGCTCACACGGCAGCCAGGCCTCATACGCACCTTGTGAGGATGCTTCACATGGACGCAAAACCCCAGCTCTTTGAGAACTCGTCTTTCCGCTTTTATAATTTGATTCTTTAAGTTAACATAGTCTTGATCCAGTACTAGAGGCACCGGTTTCCTACAAAGACAAAGCACATGTCTACACAAGGGTCAAACAAAACAAGGTCTTTCTTTTATTTTTTTGTCCTTTTTGAGACCGGCCGTTCCGCTTTTATAATTTGATTCTTTAAGTTAACATAGTCTTGATCCAGTACTAGAGGCACCGGTTTCCTACAAAGACAAAGCACATGTCTACACAAGGGTCAAACAAAACAAGGTCTTTCTTTTATTTTTTTGTCCTTTTTGAGACCGGCCGCACCGTGCTCAGCCAGTGAGCGCTGTAAGCGCACCGGTCATCCCTATATAGGATCCGAACCCGCGGCGGGAGCGCTGCTGTGCTCCAAGTGCGCCATGGGCTCAGCCCAAAACAAGGTCTTTCAAATACCATAGCTACCTCCAAATGATGAGAATCCAATATAAACACCACGGCACAGATAACGCTAAGAAGTTCCCTTCCTTTAACCAATAAAATTACAAAATATTCTTCAAATTCCTACACTAACCTATTTATCCCTTCTCAGCAGTCTTTCTTCCCTTCCCTTACAGATTAACAGCTTTTTGGTGCACAAACAAACACCGACTGCACACAGCAAAGGGTCTCAGGATCTCACCGCACAAAGGCTAAGTGACTGGCTCAAGATGTGAGGGTGTGTGTCTGTGGTTGAATGGAAGACCAGAGACCCCACGAAAGTACAGTGCTTAAAAGCAGGTGAGGCTGTGTTTTCCAATGGACTTCTACTGACTTTAGGAGGATAAAGTTTGGGCTAAGATCTAGGGCAGTGGTTCTCAACCAGGAGCAATTTTGCTATCCTAGGGCCATGTGGCAATGTCTAGAGACATTTCTGGGTGTCACAACTGAAGAAAGGTGCCACTAGCATCAGGTTGCTGCCAAGCACCCTACAGTACACAGGACAGTCCCCACAACAAATATTTCCCAGCCCCAAATGTCTGTGGCGCTGAAGTCAAGAATCCCTGGCCTAGAGCCCTCGGAAACATGCAGGAAAAAGAGGCGACAGGGTTGTGAACCGAGCAGACCCCGTGCTGGGCGAGGGGAATACATTATCAGATGTCCCACGAGCTTAAAACCTCACACCCTGAACTTCGTTGCAAACCGTAATTGTGATCTGATAGCCGTGAGGAGCAGACGAACAATGCGACAGCCTGAAAAGGACCCACTTTTTCTCCCTCAGGTGTCGCAGGCGATGGAACACGTTGATGACGTCCCGTATCCGTCTGGGCGCCTCTTCTATCTTGGAGGCCAGGTGGACGCAGGCCATGGACACGTGCTGAAAGACAAGGACCGAACGCACAGATGTTCGCCCCGCCCGCCGCGGAGGCCTGGAGCGCGGGGGCCCAGCCAGGACAACTAGGTCCCTCTCAACGCTGCTCTCAGGGAGTGACACGAAGGGGGAAGCCTCACCTCCATGGAATGCTTCACGAAGGACTTGGTGTAGAAGAACCGCTGGAACAGCACCTGTCCCGTCGCCATGGCCACCTGAGAAGGCAGACGCCCCGTTTCAGGCCGCACCGCTCACGCTCTGGTGGGGACTAGTATCGCGTTCGAGGACCCCGCGCAGAACCTGGCGCGGAAGGCTGTCCGCGTGCGGCTGCCTCGAGACCCTGCCTGGGGCCCTGGGGCGGGCTCGGGTCCGGGCCCGGGTCCGAGTGGGCGCCGGGACAGGTCAGGTTCGGGGCCGGGCTCGGGTGGGAGCGGGGAAGAGGTCGGGGTCGGGCTCCGGGTCGCGCTCGGGTGGGCGCGGGGACAGGTCGGGGTCAGGTCCGGGGCCGGGCTCGGTGGGCGCGGGGAAGAGGTCGCGCTCGGGTGGGCGCGGGGACAGGTCGGGGTCAGGTCCGGGGCCGGGC